CTGTCCCCCATCAAAGAGCAGAGTGTAAAAGGGCTGAGTTTAAACCCAGCTTTGACACTGCTGCTCGTTAGCCACAGGTCTGCGGGCAATTGCTGAATTTGGCTGATTGGTAAATATCTTAGTCCATTCAGGCTGCCCCCCAAAACCACCATAGACTGAGTGGCTTATAAAAAACAGAAATTTATTTCTGATAGTTTTGGAAACTAGGAAGCCCAAAATCAACACGCCAGCAGATTCAGGGATGGTTAGGGTCCACTTTCTGGTTTACAGATGACATCTTCCAGCCATGTCCTCACATAGTGGAAGAGGAAAGGCTTTCTGGAGCCTCTTTCATGAGGGCACTAATCCCATTCATGGGACCTCTGCCCTAATGGCCTAATCACCTCCCAAAGGTCCCACTGCCTAAGACCGTAACATTGGTGATCAGATTTCAACATATGCATTTTGGGAAGACACAAAAATTCAGACCATAGCAGTAAACTTTGCTCATTAGTAAAACGAAAATAATGGTACCTACCTACCTCACATGGCTATGAAAATCACATAAATACACAAGTAGATGTCCATATATGTGAATGATTTTGCCTTTCCTCGCTACCCTGCATGCATGAACAGAAAGCAGTCCCAAAGGTGCCTGCTTTTGAAGTTACACTACATCAGCGGGGCACCTGCTTTTGAGGTTAGGTTGCATCTGCAGGGCGCCTGCTTTTGAGGTTAGGCTGCATCTGCAGAGCGCCAGCACTGCCGGTGCAAGGTACGCGTGTTTCCCCAGGCAGTGGGGAGGGACAAGGCCTTCCTAGGGCTGTGTCCCAGAGCGCTCAGGGGAAAGAGAGAGACCCTATGGCTCCTGATTACAGGCTTTAGCTGTAATCATTCAATTACACCCTTTTATGTTCTATTTTACTGCATCTGAAAGAGGCAGGGATATCTGGATATCTAATAGCTACATTTACTGGGAGGTGAGCTACTAAAAATAGTCCCACAATCTGTGGGCGGGTTTCCAGGAAATGCTTGACTTGTTAGAGCGAACTGCAAAGAGTCTGTTAATCAAGCCCTTCATCTGAATCACTTGCCCAAGCTGCTTGCCCAGGGCTGGAGGCTTAGCGCTTGCTCATAGCAAGTGAGATAGTATAGCAGAATCTTAAAGGAATATAGGCAATTAAAGGGGATTTGATGATAAATACTGAAACATGTATGGGGATTGTACAGGAGTGACTTTAAGCCATTTTAAAGTATCACATCACTAAAACTACCAGGACCAAATGTAATTCATTATTTTAAGTCTCTCTGGATGAGATTTTCTCTAGAATTCCAAGTCTTTAATGATGATAATGTGTTTTCATTTGTGGATCCTCTCATACCTCAAGTTGGAGAGGCAGAGGGCCCATGCCCTTTTTAAAAATCAAAAGTAAATACGATGAAGTCTTTTAACTTCACGGATGGATGCTACTGACCATATTTCAGAATATTTAACATAGAAGATATTCCAGTTTTCTTACAATTCTTACAAAGGGCAGAGACAAAGCCTGATTAGAATGAATTTGCGTTGTCAGAATTTTTGAGTCTGGCATTTTCCTTGAGTTTAAGTGCTATAGCAATAAATTCTGAATATAGTTTGATGCCACTAGTTTTTCTAACTTGAAGTCAATTATTAAAAGGTCAAAAATTATTAATATATTTTAAGGAAGAATACTGTGGAAATGAAAATACAACACACACATAATAAGCACCTTTTTTAAAAAAAAATACTTAGCATTAAAAAATAAATGATAAAAATACAAAATTGAATTACTAATTTAGTTTGAACTTTAATAAAATAAATTAAAATACAATACCATTTGAAATTAAGGGCAATTAATCATCTGCTAGAAACAAAAAAAAATTAAGGTTTTTTAAAAAAATTAATTGAACCGTTAATTCAGGGTGCACTTTAAGACATCTTGTAAAGAATTTTTCATGCTCCATCTTTGACAAAACAAATGGTGGATTTAGGTAAAGGGATACAAATGGCAGTAAATCCATAACAAATGTTTCATCAGGAGGAAATAAACACCTTTACATGTAGTAGACAACACTATTTTGAAGTGGGAATTGATTCCACCTTATACTTCAGTTTTGTTTCAAATTGTTTATTTCTGTTAAGAGATAGGAGGGAGTTCCCCGACAAAAATCTTTCAATCGGCTGTTAATGAGTCACTTGTGGTCAGGTTCACAGACAAAAGACTTTTTATTGACTGAGCTGGGTCAGGTTTCCAGACTTTTCCTACCCTTTTTCATACCATGAAGACAAAACAAGGCAGAGGAGGCGTGCTGTGGGGCTGCCCGTCATCTCAAGTTTTTGAAATAGGGGCAGCCATCGAGAAAGTTGCTTCAAGGATGGGATCTTTTTCCGGGTTTGCTATGAACACTGTGATATTCTGGTTCAATCTTTGTATGTTCAGGGCACAGCATTCTCTTTCTGCAAGTGATGTCATATTTGGAGGCATAGTTGTAAGTGAACAGGGCCAAGACCGGGACTGTTCTGTCTTTGTTCCAGTTCTGCCCTCAGTAGCCATGTGGCATTAGCCATGTCTTTCAACCTTCATATCTGTCAAATGATCGGTGATCAGGCCTCTTCTCAGGTCCCTTCCTACTAATTACTGATTCTATCTATATTTCCTGTTGTTTATAATCAATATATAATGTGTGTGTGTGCGTGTGTATAGTTTAGGTTAGATAATTACTCATATATTGGTAAAAATTAAGAGCTATATTATTTATAATAACGCAGTTTCAAAATTCAAAACAAACTTTTTACTTGATTCTTGGTCTTGCGCTAGTTTAAAAAATCACCTTTTACCAGGTTTTTTGAGGCTCCAGTCTTAATTTTAATCACAAAGAAAGTGGTAATTTGTTAGACCAAATAACAGAAAATAGTAAAAATAGTTTAAAAAAAAAATGTGAGGAGAAACAAAAGGCAGACCAGGGTCAAGAAAGTCATTGTTTTTCTTAAGCAACATCATGATATGTGGTAAATTAGGAAGTGTGTTCATACACACTGTGTATTTGTGTATATGTAGAAAAGGAGGTGGTGGCTTGCTAAAGGAGAGTTGAAAAGATGATTAAAGGTCAGATGTCAACCATTTGGCTGTGGTTTTTATGTACCTTTTACATTTATTGCTCCCCCATAAAAGTAAAATGTGACTAGTTAAATAAGTGTTGCTAAAACAGGATATTGAAGTTGTAATAATGGGAAAGCATTGCAAAGAAACCTTAGAAAAATTCAAGTCATTTCACATATTAATTTCTTAAAATTGATTTTTTTTCTTTCAAGTTTTTAAGAAAAAATTCACTTATAAATAATTAGGACTTCTACATTTAGAGCCTATATATATAGTGGCTTAAAAAAAAATCAGTTTGAAATAGAAAACTGTCCTCATATCCTTCGGTATGCAGAAGCATTGCTTTGGAAGGGAAATCTGCGGCTGAGCATGCTGTGATTTTAGTTTTATGTTTTAAGTTATTGTAATAAAATACCAGACACTGATATTCACACAGTTTAAAAAAATCAACCTAAGACCTTTGCTCACATCTGTCATACCTCCTCTCCTGGGGAAAGACAACGTGGCAGGGCCTTGCTTCAAGAGTCCAGAGAACTGGCTTCTTGTTCCTGGTCTACCACTTACTGAACTGCTGCAAATTTGATCCTTTCTTAGTCTTCCTGGTTTCTAATTACCATGTCTGTAAAACGGGAATAAACAAACTTCACTAAAAACAGGGGACCTGATCAAATGTCTCTTGACTTCACTTAGGATCCAGTGAATGTGTCAACTCATGACTAAAAATGCACTGAAAGGGGGAAAAAAAAAGAAAAGCAAACCACTCCTGGCATTCTCTGAAGCAGTCAGCAGAGATTCCACTCTCTCACTCTCACTTTCCACCACATTCTGCTCCCTGTTTCTCCCCTATTCTCTCACCATCCCTGCCTAACTTACTGGGCTTATCAGCTAACACCAGTGGTCTACTGGCTGTGTCCTCCTGTCCCTCAACTCCCTCTCTCACACACCACTCACTCTTCCTGAAAACAGTTGAGATCATCATGTCCCTATCTCAAATCTTATGTTAGAAAATTCAGAATTGGTCTGCCACTGAAAGCCCTCCATAGTCCAGCTACAGTTTTCCTTTTTAGATCTACAGCTCTTCATTCACTGACCCACAGAAATTATTGGCTTCGAACAAATGATATTGTTAATTTGGCCTGGAATTACAGTGATCGTATCCTGTTGCAGAATTTTTTCCCAAACCATCTCTCTGTCCCTCACATGCAATGAATTGGAGAGATTATCTTAGTTGGAGAGAACGTCTCCAACTAAGATCATCTCAGCTATGCTTTAATTTCAGGTTCAAATCCTGCCACTGCTAAAGGTTCTCTTTCTCTCCTTCCTCTGAACTTCATTAATTAATCATGTCTTTATTATTCATCTGGCTTTTTGCACTTACTCTTTTTGTTAATAGTTTTACTGCCCATAGACTCATGTTTCTTTCCCCAACTGGTCTATAAAGTCCTTGAAGGGTGGACCCTAGGCTTGTCTTTCCCTGTCTCCTGCACATGTCGGCTATAGGACTTCCTGAGTAACATAAAAACAAAGATAAAAATGTGTCTATGTTATGCTTACATTTAAAATGAAATTGCCCATTACTATGAGTATTCCTTATTCCTTGACTAGAACTGTCATCACATGAACTATATACTCACTCAGTAAAGTGTGAAATGTATAGAAAACAGAACATGCTTGCATTATTTATTCTTAAATGTCAACAGCCTTTCAAGTTCTTACATTTGAAAAGATCTATGGCAAATGATAAGCAAAATTATTAAAGTGTTTTTTCAATATCTTTTAAATACATAAAATAGAATTCTAATATTTAGTCACAGCATTTATTACAATTACTTTCAGTACCAAAAATTGAACACCTTCCCCTTATCTTATTTTGCCTTGGAACTAGTGTTCCAGAAAAAAAAAAAAGATAATGATTATATCATAGCCAAAATATTCTTCCTGGTGATTCAGAATTAAAATGTACTACTTGCAATCTTTTATATCACTAACACCCGGAAAAGCATAAGACAAAGCCTAAGTGGTTTTAAGAATGATATTATTCAGATATGATTATTGTTGGAAATGGTCACAACTTGAGCTAATTGAAAACTGTAAGGGCTAGTTTTCACATTACCTTAATTTTCCCCATAATAAAGGGAAAGTCCTATTTCAAAGAAGTCTAAAGGTCTCTTATATTATAGAAATTAGGTTGCATGCCTAGATCATGCTTTGCTATAATTCACCTTGTTTTTACATTATGTTTTATGACCTTCAAGGGGAAAAAATAGAAAACTGTAATGAGAAACTAGAGAGGTTGAAAATGTAGGTGATTTTCCTGGCTTGTTCTCCAGTGATTTTCTGGTTGTGTACCCAAGGCCTTTAAAACTATCTAATGGAGAACATTGTCTTTATCTGAGGCTTCTTGCTAAAGAAACCACAGGGAGGGCTCCTCAGCCTCCCTTGGTGTCCCTAGCTGGAATTATCATTCTTTCTTTAAACCCAGCAGTGCTTATGCCTCTCAAAATCCCATCCTTAGAGATGGGCAATGAAGATGCCTGTGGAATTCTCCCTCCTATATTAATTTAAAAAGCACGTTTGCCAGATTTTCTTTAGGCTTCTTAATCATTATTGCTTTTGCATTAAAATTTCTTAATGAGCTTCCACTTCATTTGTCTTTTGACACCGTCAAGTTCTGCTCCTTTGAGGCCTAAAGCTGTGCTTGGAAATTTCCCAGCAGGTGCATCTTGAGCCCAGGTTGGCAGACAGCACCTGTGGAAAAGTCTTTCGAGCCAAGTGCCAAGAGGAACTTAGAAATTCCACATCTCAGCCCTGAAGGTACATGCACCGGCATGGAGTGCTGGAAATGTTAGGGGCTCTCATGAAGAAGGACTGACTTCTGTGTAGAGAGATAATCCTTAAATACAGCTACCTAACATCATGCTAATTCCTCTCTTCTGATGTCACTGTCTGGAAATATCCTCAAGTCATCTTCTATGTTCCCTAAATCTCTTAAGGAGGAGGCAGGAAGTTCTTCAGACCAATTATATAAGTTTTGGTTTAAAAGCTTGATTTTCTAGGGAGTAGTTATGAACACAAAACATGTATTTCATATTTAAGAGGCATTTGCTCTAGATAAGTTTTTGGAAACCATTTAATTTAGACCAAAATCACTTTCAGACTTTGCCATGAAGAGTCCCATTGGTGTTTGTTTAGTGATTTCCATGTGTAAATGTGGCTGTTCTGTTAGTTGTCTTCATCCTGTAATCTGCCCGGATGAGTCACTCTTAATAAGTGGCTCTCCAATGATCCGCTCCACAGTTTTCACAGTGGTTTCACAGGCCCTAAAAATGACCCCATAGGAAAAGAAGACTCTGTATGGGCTACCTCCCCCAACTGAGGAATTCACAGAACCTGTTAGCTTATTAAAGTTCTGAGAATTTCGGCAGTGCAGAAATGTGATTGGCTTTCTGTAACAGTGCTTCCAAACTTATTTGGCCATGAAACTGAAAATGTGGATTCTGATTTTGATCCAGAAAAACTGATATTTCTTAGAACACAATTTGGTAAATGCTGGGTTAAGCATCTTGCCTATAAAAAAAAAAAAAAAAAGAAAAAGACGTGAAGTTTTTTTTCAACACAAAATATAACAAATAAACAACTATTCTATTTTTATCCTACAATCATTTTCCATTGTCTAACCACAGGTTTCTCACTATTGTTTCAGATGGTGTGATCTCAGGTACTCTAAGTATACGCGGTTCATTTTAGTCCAGTTTTGAGGAATGTGTGTGTAAAATGTGGCTTTAAAAAATGCGTCTGGGGACTGGGTACAGTGGCTCATGCCTGTAATCCCAGCACTTTGGGAGGTCTAGGCAGGCAGATCATGAGATCAGGAGATCGAGACCATCCTGGCTAACATGGTGAAACACCGTCTCTACTAAAAAATACAAAAAAATTAGCCGAGTGTGGTGATGGGTGCCTGTAGTCCCAGGGAGGCAGAGCTTGCAGTGAGTCGAGATAGCACCACTGCACTCCAGCCTGGGTGACAGAGTGAGACTCTGCCTCAAAAAAAAAAAAAAAAATGTGTCTGGGGATTCCATATGCTGTCTGGAACTGAGAAGGGAGGCAAACAACTTGGGCTTCCACATACACACATGCATACTCTGTCTCATTTCAGCTTTTTGCTACACTGATAGTGGGGCAACGGGACAGATAGCTAGGATAAGTTTCTTAAACATCAGTGGAATTTCTAATGAGATGATTGAAACTACACGCTATTAAATATTTAAGGCTTAAAAAATGATTAGAAAATAGGATCATCTACACAAAAACTGTGAAGGTGGGATTTCTAATTTTAAAAGACAATCAAAAGGAAAAACTCCAGGCTCAGTGGTACTTTCTTCATTAATGTATTCTGGAATAATAATAACTTCTAGTTATATAAGGCATAGGACAGAAAGCACACAATGCTAATGATCCGAGTGCCTCAAAAACACTAAATGAAAGGTGGAAACTCTCCTCTGAAGGGACTGCAGAAGACAGAGAAGAAGAAGGAGCTGCGTGGTCCCCAGATCCATGATCTTGTACGTTCACCAATGTCAACCTATGCCAGAAAATGATGGGTCGTTCCTCTGCAATGTAGCAATGACCCTAAAATCCCCTGGTCTATTTGAATTCTCAATAAACTTATCTCTTTTATAGCTAGTTACTTTTTCAACACTAAGGTTTTATTTTCAGAGGGTAAACTGTGGAGGAGTCAGAGAAAAACCACAGGATACATTTTTTTTAAAATCATAGTTTACACACTACCTTATCCCAAAACTGTATTGCCCCTCTAGTTGCCCACGAGCCTACTATGAACCTGGACCGAAGCATGGGTTCCCGAAATCAGGCCTTATTTGTTTGCTTTGCAAGGAGAAATAATGGTGAAGTTTGGCTTGTGAGTTTCATTTCTTTCTTCCCTCCTTGCACTTACTGACATTTTGTTATGTGGATATTCCTGACACACAGACTGCTTTCTCAGGCGATCACAATCCAACCATTAGCCTAATTGCCATGCCAGGATAGTGTCTGATACTCCACAGAGTGCAGCAACAGAAAGAAGTGCAGGGCCAAAGGGAGCAGAACCGAAACACAGAGAAAGGGCATCTGGGGAGTCTTGGGTAAGAAAAAGCCTAGAAACCGCTGATTTGATTTGGGTCACGCCCATGGTATATAACAAGGAGGGAATATGTTTTAAATAATACAAACAAATCTCATAACTTAAAAAAAGAGAAAGGCCATGAATGAGGTAGACTTTTCTTTGAGCCCTATTTCACATGAACTTAAGAAATAAAAAGGATGGAGCCTCATGGAAAAGGATGGCCCACATAAGTGGGTGGAGTATTATACCCTTCAGTGCTTACCACGACTGCCTGAGGAAGCAGGAAAGTGGCTTGCTTGGAACTGCAGAAAGTCAGATTCTTCCATAAATATGAGAGACAGGCCTGGGGTCTCAAGTCTGCAAGGTAGCAATGTGGGTTAAAATACGAAGCAAAAGTCTAGATTTATACAGAGTAGTAAAATGTAATAATTAGAATGGTCAATATTTATTTGGTGCTTTACATTTTAAAAATATCCTCCACCTTCATTGCCTCATTTGATCCTCAAAACCCCACCATGAGGCGGGTTCTATACGAAATTCATTCAAAACTGTCTAGGGGAATCTTTCCTTTAAATATCCTAAACCATTTCTATTAGATTCACTTGAATTGTAGCCCCAAGTCAAGCATTGTAAGACCCAATCTCTAGGAGCTAGTTTGATTCTCATACCTGAAACTCCCATAGGAAACCTTTGTCAGACTCTATGTCCCAATTTTGCATTCATAAAATCTTTTCTCATTTCACAGTTGAGAGTACGAGAGCCCAGAGACATCAGACTTTTTGCCCAAAATAACGTGCCCTGAAATACAAACAGAGGTCTTTTGATTCTGCAGCTATCTTTTGTCCCTTGTACCACGCTTTCTCTTATGGCACGCCTGCAGATTCTGTTTGGGTATAGTGGAAGTTCCTGGTACAAGGCCTTACTCTCTGAGAGTAACCACAGAATATGTGCTGAATTAGTTAAAATGAAGTAAAGCTTTCAGCAGTTTCTCAGGGCCCTACTTGAGTCACCTGTAAGGTCAGAAATGAGGCACTCCTACATGGCCTGAGTCTATGGGCCTGAAATGGAGTTCAGCAGGCACTTAAAACACCACCTGGTGAGAAAAGTAAGAATTTCCTTAAATTTTGACCTAAATGTTCCCTGGCTTATGGAATCATGATGCAGACATGGTTAGGCTAACAATTAAAGTAATAACCCAAATTTGCCCTCCCCACCCATATCCCAGTGAAGCCTCTGTAAAGTCTCCCCAGGACATTTCTGGGAGTCTGAGGAGCTGTCTTAGGTGTACCCCTTCAATGGCTGTGAGCTCTAAGGCTTTTCTTCTTCACAAACACACCAGTCTGCCACCACCGCTCACAGAGCCTTCAGTGCCACCTGAAACAGAGCTTGACACACCCAACACTTCCAGCCATAGTGTACTAGGGCACACTGTCCTCCCCACAGAGGCAAGGAGATCATTCTGCTCCACACTGTGACACTGAGTCACTGCAGATCCCTTTATCCCTGCCTCTCATGATCTCACAGAGACCTTCCAGCTTTTCCTGTCTCACCCCAATGCCTTCGTTCATGTACCCTAGACAACAGGGAGGTTAAGGAAACACATCACCACATGAAAACTCCAATGTGAAAATCTCTACTGTCCCGTTAAGCAAGGCTGGTGGCCCACCAACTTCTCAACCTCATTAGACAAACCCAGATGTGTCTCAGTGTTCTCTAGGCCCAGGCTGGACCCTCCCTCCTGGATCCTCAAACAGTTGCAAATGCAGTGGCTGAGGCTGAAGTTCTCTCACTCTCTGAGCCACAGATTGCTAATTGGGGTATCCATTCCCTTGTTGCTCCACTTTAAGCCTGACCTTGATATTCATCTTCCCCACAATTCTCTGAAAATGTTGAGCACTGTGCTGTAAGTTATTCTCTGCCCCAGGTAGGAACTTCCTCCAGAGAGGGACCTGCCCTTCATCAGAGGGCTCTAAACTGCGCCAGGCCCCACTCTCAACCAGTACTTCCAAAATTTGGAGTGCATTCAGAGAGATGTTAAAGGACAATTAAATACTTAAAGTACTGAGAATATTGGAGGAAAACAAAAGGCTCTGGGGTCACTGGCAGCATCCTACAAGAGAAGGAACATGAGTTTTATAATCAGAGAGACCTACATTTAAATCCCAGATTTATCTTAACAGTTGTGTGACCATGAGCATTTACTTTGCTTTTCTGAGTTCCGGTTTTCTCACCTCTGAGATGAAAATTAAATGTACTTTATTGATTCCCCATGTTGCCTAATATCTAATGAGAGATATTAGAAACAATGGGAATTTTTTATGTGTGTATAACAGAAGCCCATTTATTCTTGCTCATGATTAAAGGAACATTGACTTTAGAAGTTTGGAAAATAGGGGAACTACAATTCTTGCATTATAGAAATAACAGAGAAAATGCTCTACCCTCCACCCAAACATAAGCCTATCACTATGTGGGAACCCCTGAACTGAAATATCTCTCAGGGTCTCAAAATACAGAAATGTTAAGATTGGTCAAATCAACTGTCCTACACCAAATACTTCCTCCCCTCCACCTTCTAGTAGCTTCAGCACGTGAATCCATGTGAAAATATAGAATGATCTTGCATTTTAGGATAATGTTTAACAATTTTAAGATTAGCAAATAAATTCAATTTCAGATTAGCAAGCAAAGTTTTAAATTCAGCATAGGCCAAGCACGGGGGTTCATGCCTATAATCCTAGCACTTTGGAAGACTGAGGTGGGCAGATCATGAGGTAAGGAGTTCAAGACCAACCTGGCCAACATAGTGAAACCCTGTCTCTACTAAAAATAAAAATAAAAAAATTAGCCGGGCATGGTGGTGCAATCCCGTAATTCCAGCTACTAGGGAGGCAGAGGCAGGAGAATCACTTGAATCCAGGAGGCAGAAGTTGCAATGAGCTGAGATCATGCCACCGCACTCCAGCCTGGGTGACAGAGCAAGACTCCATTTCAAATAAAATAACATAAAATAAGATAAAAATTAACAAGCATTTCTTTCTGTATTCTGAATTTAAGTCTACCTTATTTTTACCACTATAGGACAGAGGAAAAAAGACTATACATGTGTATGTATGTGTGTACGTATGTTATGCATGCGTGTGTGTACATATATACATACATGCATATATATATACACACACAGATACATATGTGATACACATACGTGTCCATAGGTGTGTGTCCTGGTAGCCACAGTTTATATTAAAAAAGAAAGAAAATTCCATTATAGTTGATCAGTACTTTTCGTGAGCTTTCCTTTGAAGTAAATGGCTTTGTTGTACAAACTCACTTTTTGATTTATTCTCAAGGTACACCTTGTATATGAAAGATCATACAAAAGAAAAGAAACTCTCATAAAAATGAAACGATATTCTTGCTATAGGAATAAAATTTTGCTTGAATTATTTTTTATTATTTTATAATTATATATATTGAACAAATAAAAATACAAATTAAATATTTTATATTTCATATTTGCTTGAATTATTATTGTATTATATGTAAATAAATATAACAAATTATATTATAGGGAATGAATAATATTGGAAACTGGAAAATTGTCCTGAGTTGTGATAAGTTAATAAGATGCATATTGGCGGTCATCTTAAGATGCTGCCTGCTGTTAGAATAAATGAGTTAGACATCCCTCAGAGGCCTCCAGCACTTCTCCACCCTTTACCCTGGGAGGATCAGCTGAAGCGACGTGCCAGGAGAAACACACACTGGATGTGCTCCGAAGTTCCCTCTGTACACTAACCACTTTACTATTTGGGGGTCATAGACCTCTTCAAGCTAGGATAAATATGCCAGGTATAAATAAATATGATTTAAGATATACATGGCATTGATTCTACTCCAAACTCATAAATTTTATATATTTTTTTTCTCTCCATAGAGGAGAGACTAACCAGTTTCAGACATAGGTTTTAAGGAAGAAGTGAGGTTTTCTTTTCTAAAGGTCTTCAACACTATTGTGGTTATGATATAAATTTTAAACTGAAAATTGAAAGAATTCATAATCCATAAAATGCCCATGGCATTTCCAGGAACACTTTTAAATTGCGACAGTAAAAGTTGAATATGTATTTACGCTTTTCTCAGGGGACTATTCTCCCTTGTTAACTAGACTGAGAAAAGGCAATAAGGTATTCAGCTGCCTAGTGAAGTCTTTCTGATAAAGAATTCAGCTATAACAGCTACTCGACCAGCAAATGTCTTTTTCAGGGACAACTTTAGAAACTCTCAGCCCACAAATCATTGATAAAAATTTATCTACTAAAGAATTGCAAATGAATGAAAATGGAAACATCTCAAATTTGTCTAGATAATCAAAGACCAGGGTTTCATTGTCTTTTTCAGTGGAGAAGCTTTTATTAACCAACTCCCTTTGTTCAGAATTTACTTTGCATTCTCTCAAGTCATGAGATTTCTCTTTTGGAAATGTTATTAGTTTAGACCAAAAGAGTCCTGGTAGTGCTGCTTGAAGATTTCATAACCATCTGAAAGAGCCCATGTAGCTTTGAAAGGCAGCTCTTAGAAGAGAGCTGGGCATCTTACTAAAGAGCTGTGAAGAAAGGCCCACAGCACCTTCCAAAAACTTGCCTGATAAACCGTAGTAAATCAGGACTCGATGCACAATTATGTTGATCTTAGGTAATACCAAGAGCACAAATACTGCAAATCACCAGATAACCTCAAAATATTGCTTGAATAATTGGTTTTGAGTTTCTCTCTTTCCAAGATTTTCTTAGAGCTGCTAAACATTCTAATAAAATAAAAGTAAAATAATAAAATAATCCAAGTGTTTAAGTTGAGCTTCTCTTCATGTCTGAATTACTAAAAGGAAAAAGAGGACCACGTATGTTAAAAGGAGAATAAAGGAACTAGATAATGTGTATCTGAAATCAAGCTATAAATAATTTGAAAAAGATGAAGGTAAAACTGAACATAGGACCAGGAATGATTTTTTTTTTTCTTATACAAATCCTAATATTCAATGATGTAAAAACACCGTATCCTACAGTTCATTATTTTAAAATTTAAAGTCTGTGTTAGTTAATTGTTGCTAATTGAATGGAGGTCAACTTTTGATCTCACAGTACTTTGTGGAAAAAAAAAAAGATAAATATTTAGTTCCAGTATATTCACAAAACTATTCATTCCAGCCTCCCTACAACTCCTGTGGTTTTACATATTTTGGTAAATGTGAGTGAACACTTCCCTAATCACTTTTACTCACAGTCATCGCTCAGTGCTTCTGAAGCCATCAGTTATCCTTTATTTGACACTTTGCACACATTGTTACTCTGTAATTT